TTCTTTTTGGTCGAGCTACAGGCACGTGGCCTGTATGTAGGCACAGCACAGTTTGCAAACCCCGCTGGTTTCCAACATCTGCCATTCTTCTTCCAGCAACATCCTCACGGTGACATCTTTCCAGCCGTGTCAGACCTCTGTGCTAGGCAGAGGAGACCAGCGCGCGGGGCGGGGAGTAGCTCTGTGCGGAACTAGCTACGACAGCTCTGACTGCTTCACACGAGAGCTTTGAAAGGGTGTACAACGGGCTGACAAACCACCCGGCTTGAGCTGTCGTTTTGGTTGCTGTCTCAGCCACTTGAGCTACTTGAGTGTCTTTCTCTCTGTTCTCCCATAATTCTTCACGTGATCAGCCATATGTATGTGGGAAAAAAGAGATTTCAGACTAAAACGCTATCAAAGAACCCAGCCCAAAAGAAACAACTAAACTAGGGCACAGCTCTATGAAGTCCTCTGTTTTTTTTGGTTGAGAAACTGTAATGAAACCCCAGTGTCCCAGTTTCATCTGCTAAAAAGGATGTATCTAAGGCTTTATGAAGCTAACGTTTCGTGAGCTGTCATCCCTCTGCAGCGCAGGTAGCACCTGCAGTACAGCCTGAAGACGGCAGACAAACTTGTGTAGACAAGCTGAAGCTTGTGCAGTGACTGACGTGGGTTTGTTTTTCTTTTTTGGCCCTAAAGATTGCACTATAGCACCTTAGCAATTTGGGCTGGTTTTCTCTGCGCGTGGACAAAATTCTCTCGCTTGCAGTTTACGGTCAATGTTGGTCTTCAAATTTGTTAACAGGAGAGAACACGTCAAAAATCAAACTCATCCTGACTATAGATGGCAATAAGCTGACGTGACATGGTCTAGTGGTCCAGAGACCGAGGGGAAAAAGCAGAGACTGAAAGAGTTTTAATGCTGTCTCTCTCTTTCACTAGCTTTGTAAGTTGCAAACTGCAGAGAAAATAACAGCAATGTCTGCTTTGTAGAATATTTTTTTTAAGCTTTTTCTTTCAGCTAAAATGTGCATTTTTGCAGTTTTGCATAATGGATAATATGCCACACTCTTTGTCCATTTAACAACAATTAACTTGTATTTGTGTGCCTTCTAGATGGTTCTGTTAGTTGCCACTGCCACAGGAAAGGTATTGCCATTAGCTAGGTTATGCGTTTTCAAGAAAATATTGCCATTTATGCTCATTACCCCGCACCTCCCCCCATTTTAAATCTGCTGGCAGGAAGTATCCATTTTTAGGCTGTGATTAATTCCACTTCTCTTCCCTGCATGCACTTAAACCTGTGCAATTTCACCGACCCCCTGTGATTGCAGGAAGACGGTTACTGCACGCGGCTGAGCTAGGATACTTGCCACTGCAGAGCGGAGCGGAGGAGTGCTACCAGCACTCGGCACGTGACCGTTCGGACATACGGCTGGCCGTTTGTAAGTGACAGCAGAGGTTTCCGTCTGCACTGCAGACACACTCACACACGAGCGTTCAGAAAAACGGGTTTTATGTTGATACCTGGCAATGGTTTCGAATACGTTGTAGGCTAATTTGAAGATGGCACATGACAGTTTCTGAGCACGACTGCCTGTTGCTAAGGCAATGGAAGTTTGAATTGTCACTGATGGTCAAGTAACGTTAATTGTTAGGCCCAAGCGGACTGTGAAACTACGTGTTTTAAATGCCACTGTCAGAGATAAATCACATTGGGCAAAAGACACTTTGTCACTATAAGAAAGCCGACCTAACCAATGTTTGCCCGCTTTTCTAAATCCTCTGGTGTTCTACATTTTAACTGCAGTCTAAGGGACAAACTATATTCAGTCAGATGCTGCCCATAGCTTGACAATAGCCCTCCACCCCAAATCCTTCCTTAGCTTGGAGCAGAAATGTCACACTTCTGTTTATTATCTTGGGGAAGAGGATGGTTGAGAAGCTAGGGACCTATTAATCTTGTTTGACCAATAATTTTTCTCACAGTTATGACTGAATAATAAAGCAAATGTAAACTCTGTCATTCTTGGAAAAAAGTGTATTTCAGTCATATGTCAGTAGTATAGAATAATACTCATTTTTGGTAACCTGAAGTAAGTGGTGGCACTGAAAAATTTGCATAGCAGCAGCACCCCTAAGAAACACATAATGCAGGTGACTTGGTGCTACAGAGTTATTCTGAAGATATGAAATTACTCTCCAGTGCTATTTGCAGTGACTTTTCAGTTGCACTAGAGATTAATCGTTTGTACTACATTTGGATAAGCAGATTCCAAAGAGAAAAACAAAAAAAAACCATGCTAGGAGGGAAATGAAACGAGGCTTCCTCCTGTCTGGTGTGGAGTTTTAATGACGTATGCCAAAACTCTCTTCAAGTTTTCAGGGGAACTCTGAAATTCATAAATGGTAGCTATAGGCATGTAATTACCCCATTT